TGTCCCTTGCATGTAGTTATGAAGGAACCTAAAGTGGTGTCTCTAATACTCTGGGACCTCGAATCTAAAGACATTTGAACTTCTTGGTGTTTTTTCTGACCTTTACAGAGTAGAAACTCCTGATCAAAACAACCTGATCAAAGGTGGACCAACAAATCCAGTCAGCACTCAATATCCAGTCAGCACATGTATATCCACATCCAGATCAAATAATAATAAAGCTCAAATAATATCTCAACTACAGCCCCAAATCTCAAATGAGTTGAAAAGGATGTTCTGTGGACGCATTCTAATCTACCTGCCAGCTGTGCTCGAGTACCTGACCACTGAGATACTGGAACTAGCAGGAAACATGGCTCATGACAGCGGAAGGACAGGATCGTCCCTCAGCACCTACAGCTGGCTGTCCTCAGGGACAAGGAGCTCAGCAGACTGCTGGGAGGAGTGGCCATCGCTCTGGGAGGAGTTCCCCTTTGGGATTAATAAAGTATTTTTGAATTTGAATTTGAATTTGATTAGGTTTCATAAAATGAACCACAGTAAGTAAAAGTGGCTGGGCAGAAAAACATCTAAATTATCTGGATTTTCAAAGCAGCTCGTCACACCAAATGAAAGCATCTATTATGAAATGGCTTGTGGACAATCTTCACTGCATCCTGAAACAAATCCTGGCGTGATGAGAGATCATATATGTCCATAAATTAGGCATTGGGAGCACAGGTAGTCATTACTCCAGAGGAGCAACTGTTTCTAGCTCGTGCACACATACCTGCTGCCTTCCAAAAGCCCGCAGGCAGCTAATAACACTGTCCAACCAAACTGCTCTGATCCAACACTGGCCCAGAGGTTCACTGTCAGCACCTGACAGCTCACATCTGTACAGCTGTAAATACCCTCTAATATATATGCTGAAACATTATTTAGTTCTGACACCTCAATTATGCTCTCACGTCTTTTATTCTTGCTCTGAACCTTGCTGCCAGGATCTTTCATATCTTGCTTTTGACATTCATGCAGGAAATGTAATCCAGTTTGATTCAATTCTTGCAATTAAAAACTTGATCCAAAAAAAAAAAAAAAACAAGCAACAATAACACAAGCTAATTATGTGTTGGTCCAAATTAGCATGACATGGATGTACAGTTGCCAAAAACATAATCCTATTATATTGTTGTTTATTAAAATAGAAAATGTGTGTTTAAAAAAAATTGAAAGTTGGGCCCTGTCGCCATGGAAAAATAATAAACAAGATATAAAACCAAAGTCATACATATCCTCTGTTAAACATTAAAAACATATGTGAGCTGTTTGCTTCAGGACACAATAAACATTATACTATATATTATATATGAATAATGATATAATAATAATATATGAATATACTGAAGGTTCTTAATGATGTTGTTGAAGCACTGGATGCTAAGGATTATTGTGCTGCACTTTTCTTAGACCTGTCTGAAGCTTTTGACACTGTGGATCATAACATCTTGTGTCATAAACTCTCAGAAATTGGTTTCTCAGAACACACCATTGGTTGGTTCTCTAACTATATTTCAGACTGGAGGCAATGTGTTCAACATAATGGCACTTCCTCCAGTTATTTAACAGTCAACAATGGTGTACCACAAGGCTCAGTCTTAGGACCCACCCTCTTTACAATTTACATAAATAATGTAGGTAAAAACATCCCTAATGCATCCATACATTTCTATGCTGATGACACAGTTGTTTATTGTCGAACTAAAACTGTTGCTAAGGCTTTCCAGCTTTTGAAATCTGCAATCAACTACATCCAGACTGATTTGTTCCGCCTCAAACTTGTCCTAAATGCCGACAAAACCAAAGGGATGCTTTTTTCAAATAGGAAGTTGGTCCCAGCAGTTCTTCCTCTGATTTTATCCTCAAATGGAGTCCCCCTTGAGTTTGTTGATTCCTATAAATATTTGGGTATCTTGGTCGACTCAAATCTCTCTCTTAAGCTCCATGTGGAAAATTTGGTAAAGAGACTGAAAGTTAAACTGAGTTTCTTTTTCAGAAACAGATCCTGTCTAACCCTGAATGCTAGAAAATGCCTTGTAACAGTGACTTTCCTTCCCTCCATTGATTACGGTGACATTATTTACATGAACGCTCCTACAAGAACCCTGCAGATGTTGGATGCTGTCTATCATGGTGCACTAAGAATCTGTTGGACTCCTGGCAGGGACCAATGCAGACATGCTCCTGTTTTTAGTTTTCTACATTCGACTTAGAACCTAGCTGTTTTTTTTTTGTTTGTTTGTTTGTTTTTTGTTTTTTGTTTTTTTGTTACCTTTTCCTTTTAGCCATCCTATTTGTAAAAAAAAAAAAAAACCCTGAAGTATGACTTTTTATAATTGTTTATTGTTGTTGCTGTTGTCCAATGTTGTCATCTTTCTTTGTTGAAATCAGGTCTCACTTGTAAATGAGTCCTCGAGGCTCAATGGGATCTACCTGTCTAAATAAAGGTTGAATGAAT